TAATCGAGTCTTCAGACGGTGTTTGTGACATCAGTGTTGTCTTTTTGAGGGTTAAAAATGGGAAGAGAAGGAAGGATTCTGTACACACAGGGAGAAAAATAATGTTTACAAAGAGGAACAGCATATAACTTTTCCTCTGCTCAGAAGACTTTCCTATGGTGACTATTCATAAATTTGTAGTCAAAGCTTTTCCTAAATGATAGCCTAATGCTGGGATTTGGGTTAGGGAGTATCAGTATGCTGTTTAGGTACAGGGAAATAACAACTCATCTCTTTGCCTAGGGACAGCCACTACTGAATATAATCTGGGATGACTTCGCACCCTCACTTCTTAATGTGATTTGTTTATTTTTAAATTACTTCGAAGGTGACAACTTGTCATTTTAACAATTGCTATGGATACTACAAGTTTTCAGTTTTTAATTGCTGTAACACCATTGTTGGGAATGTAAAAACAGTAATGAATTCCTTTGAGTTCAGCAAGGTTTGTTTGTTTTTTTTCTTTTTTCTTTTTTATTTAAAAAAACAAAAAAACAAAAAAACAAAAAAACAAAAAAAACCAACACTATCCTGGATTGTTTTTCTCCAAGGCATGACAAACTTCAGCTATAAATAAGCTACTTGAAGTCTCACAGCCCACTCTGAGTTGCTCTTGCTAATGGGATTGCAAGCTGTAAGCACCAGGGCAGCACGAAGAAAAAATCTAGCTTCTATCTGTGATGTCAGGAAAAAGGATGTATTGGAGTTTCTGCAGTGTTTGGGACTTGGAGCTAGGGTAAGGAAGAGGATGCCCCCACTTGCCAGGGAGCTGTGCATAAAGGGCTTTGTTTGAGTGGTCCAGGACTGAGAAGGAGCTTTTGTCCCACACAGAGCTGTAGCAAGGCCCGTGGAGCCTTCCTCACAATGCTCCTTGGGGTCTTTCCAGTCCCTGCTTTTGCAACAAATCTGCAGGGTACACAACAACAGCAACAGGTTTAAAATTACTGTCATTTGGCAAAGTTCTTGGAGGCATCCAGTCTTTTTACAGTTCTTGTAAGTCATTATTAGCAGCTTACAAAGCAAGCACTGTCTCTGAACTTTGTCAGTTTTATGATCTTTCTGCCATCATCCATACTGACTGTGAAGCAAATTCAGTAGGATGTATCATCTCTCGTCCTTAGTGGAGGTTTGGCAACAGGGCCAGCAGCAGAAGGACGAATGCCTCTGTGAACATCTCCTTCTGAATCCTGATGTGTCAGGGTTTTCTGTGTGCTTTGGTGTCAGCAGGTTTTAGTGGCAGAGCTCCATGTATAATATTTGCTCTACAGAGATAATTTCCTCCTCATAATTTTGAAGCTTCTGACTTTCTCCATAGGAGAACATTTCTATCCCCTTGATCGTTCTTGCTGTTTGACTATGAATCTTTTTTCATAATCATGTATTATCCATCAACACATTCTGCCTGAGGATGTCTGCTCAGCTGGTAGACATCTGATAAATCACATGCTAAATCTAGGTACTTCGAGAAAGATGTTCCTATCTGTCTGTCTGTCTCTGAGTCTCTTAGTGGGTTATTAAAATAAAGTCTTTTCTACTTGAATCCTCCTAGCTGATACAAGAGGAGTCTGTTTCTACTTTCTTTTTTTAAATTAGTTGAGGCAGATCACTGTTTTTCTGACTGCCTTGTTCTTGTTTGCCATACTTGTTTATCATACAGATATTATTACCATGACTTTTAAAATAAATTTTCATCTCTAGTATTGACGCAAATACTGAATACTAACAGATCTTGAACTGATCCCTGCAAAATTCCAGTGGAAGTATCTGTTTTGCTCATAGTCCCTAATTGACTCAGCAATCTGTCAGCGTATTCTGAATACATTTACAGTGTTCTTCATTGTTTATATTGCTAACTTTTTAAAAATAAAAACTGTATATGGCATCTTGAAGTACTTAAAATTTTTGTATAATAGATGAGAGCTCTCTTTGGCGATTTTATTGGTAGTTTTTTGGCTCTGAAATTAATTTACACTGCCTCAGATTTGTTTTGCTTATGTCAGTTTTTGTTTATGCATTTGCTAAATTGTGAATGCTGCCAAGGCACCAGGGAAGTTTTTCTGCAGAATCAGTAAGAATATTTTACAGCTGGGACAGATTTTTTTTTCTAATGAATATTTTAAGTGTTGCCTTATTCTTTGGTTATTATTTCCTATTGAGTGTCAAGGGAACTTTATCTTCTTTCCTTACGCTGTTTGTGGTTTTTTTTTTTTTTTTCGTAAATCTGAGAATGGTACTTCTCCAAACCAAAACTGCTGTAGCTTACCTGTGACATATAAATATCAACCTGTCAGAGCCCTGCATGCCTACCCACACACTCCTGGAGGTTTGGCTGCTTGTCTTGAAGATGCTCCAAGGCTCAGGTTAGGCTTGAGCTTTCTGGAGGTGTGAAGCACATCTGCAATGTAGTTTGGGCAGGGACCAAGAGCGAGGGCCTCAGTGTAAATCACCTCCCAAACAAGGGGAGGCTCTTCTCAGCTCTTCTCAGTTCTTCTCACAACCCTGCTGTTTTCCCAGTGGTCTGATCCAAGGTTACGCAGCTGCACTATGGCAAACCTGGCCTTGAGCATCAGCAGCCGAGCCCCTGGGAGGGAGTGTGTGTGCTCAGGGCTGGACACTGCCCTTTGATAGGCTCTGGACATTTTCATTTGGTTAAAGATAACAGCCTACATTATTACTGTCAGACTAATCAGTTTTAGGTTGCTCCACAGTTAGGTTTGTTTTTGTCCAAGATGATTACAAATGGTGCTGGTTCAGTTATGTAATTAATGAGAAGTTGATAGAAATACAGAATTTTTCCCAGTCTGAGACCATTTGTTTAAGTGTTAGCTAGTGAGGCAGGCTTGAACTCCTAAACAGATGGTTGCAGAGCTGCAGGTATAGTGAACATTACAGGGAGATGACATGAACTTGAACAAATAGGTTCATCAACAAATATTGATGAATACTTGCATGAATACATGAAAGTTGTGATGATGAAGTGTGCAAGGAGGATGCTCAGGGATAGATTGGTGAAAGATTTTTCTTTGGGAAGTGTGCATTATATGACAGAAAAAAAGACATAACTCACTTTTTCAGCAAGCAAATAGCATTCTTTGCATTTCTTTCTGGTAGGATATTAGCAAAAAGAGAGTTTTTTGGCACTGGTGATATTTCTCCCTGCTGCTTTGACTGGGGACTGTTTCTTTTGTTTGTTTTCTCTTTGTTTGCTTCTCACCACGTCTCCATCCTTCGGGGGAAAAAAAAAAAGCTTTTCAATTGTGTGTTCTGCGTTGTCTTGTTTGTTTTTTTTTTTTTTTTTTGTTTTTTTTTCTTTTTGGTTTTTTTTTTTTTTTCCCTTTTACGGTGGTCCTCTGCTGCAGTACTCTTCTCACCAGCAGTATCTCACTGTAGGGCTACAAAACCAATAGTATGTGTCCAACCTCAGGTGTCCTGTGTTCTTTAGATTTGCCAGATGATTCATGGGTGCTCTTGCCAGTGTTCAGGAACAGCTAGATGCAGAGCAAAAGTTGGGGAGTCTGCAGTGGGGAGAGCAGGTGGGAGAGAGGGAAAGGGATGAATTCCTGTGAGCCTGGGTCACAGCCAGTGTGCTGCTTTTTATCTTGGGACTGGGTAACTAACTTGATTACTATGTCTTTTGTTAAAGGCATTTACTGTGTTACGAGTGCCTCATCAGAATAAAAATACTGAATTTAGTAAGTTCTTCAGGGTATTCAAGTGCCTGTGTTTCTTTTGCATCTTGGTAAAATGAAAAGTTTGCTACGCTTTTTTTTTTTTCCACTGGACCTACTAATCTATCTATTGTACTGTGTTTGTCTCATGTGAAAGTCTTCACCTGTGTTAGAGGAAAAGGTACGTATGGTTTTGTGAAAGTTACTAGCACAGGTGAAGACTGTACTGTGTGTTGCTAGCAAAGAATCATAAGTTGTGCCTGCAACTCCGTGGAAAGCAATCAAATACGTGAATGTGAATGATGCTTGTTAGGGATGACATATTCCAGATTTTCATTTACACAAGGGTGGTGGAGATATGAATTTATCCCGTGACAGGTGAACTGTTGTAAAGATAGTGACGTTTCAGTAGTGAAACTTCCTCTGTGTTCATGGCTTCTTGCGTAAAGCATTGAGAAAGCTGTGTTTGCAGTATGAAAAGTGTCTTTCATAACTTGTGTGCTCTGCCAAAGTTCATCTTCTAAGTGTGGCCTTCCTGGTGAAAAGGTCATGGCAATACCTGTAGAGCTAAAGCGTATTCTATATTAACATAATCTTTTCATGGTTTCAGAATATATATGGAGCAGTTCTTGCACTGCGGTAATTACATACAATAGGATTGTGATTGTATGATCCTGTGCCAACTGCTTTTCATATTTGCAGCACCACAAAAAAGTATTTTTGATTAGTTTTTGTTATTATTGCTTATAATTGGACAATTTGTCACATCTGATTCCTTCTGTTTATAATTCTCCTGACTGTGCCACCTAACTCAAGACAATGTTTAGGTTAAAAAAAACCCCAACCACAAACCAGACCATGGTCTGGTAGCCTGTGCATGGGGGATATAGCTGCAGTGACATGGTGTCCAGAGACTCCTAGTTCAGTGAGACTCCGGGTATTTTACAGGCTACTTCACCATAAGGGTAGATGTAGACGACTCCCTCTGCTGCCACTGTAGTAACAGCACTTTGTGCCTGTCCTTTCATTCGTGTGTCCATTTGTCCTATTTTTTTAAGTAGCAGCTAGTATGTGCTGTGTTCATCTCAGAGATCGTGACCAAAGCTGGAGAATTTATTTCCACAAGTGGATACACTCACAGTGTTATTATCTTTAACAAAGCCTTCTTTAAAGTCTTACTTGAAATCACTTCTGTTGCTGTGCTACTGCTACTGTTACACATTCAAGCCTTGAACTGTCAAGGAATTATGAAGTATTTTTATCCTGTGACATTCTGAATTATTCTCTCCGTAGGGGAAGCCTGTGGGAACGCCAGATGCTGGTGCCTATTTCCGTGTGTTAGCAGAGCATGAAGTAGCTGCCTTCTTTACTTCACCAACTGCAATTAGAGCAATCCGTCAGCAGGACCCTGAGGCAGCCTTGGGAAAGCAGTACTCTCTGAAAAGGTGAATTAAGGATACACTGGAAGCAGTTTCTTACAGACACAGGCTGGATGAACTAAGAATAGCAGAGTGTCTGGGGCTTTGTTCACCTCTGTGTAGCAGAATTTAAATGTGTTCTTGACAATTTAGGTGTACCTGTGTTTGACTGTAAATTTATATTGATAGTTTGGAGGAGATGAAAGCTGTTAAAAAGATTCTAAGGTCAGGAGCTCTTACTGAGTTAGGATTGCTCTCTCAACCTTAATTTTACTCCACTGTGCTTATACAATTTAATACAGTCTTAGATTACATGATCCCATACTGTTTTCCCATGTGACCTCTCATTTCATTGAGTGCACAGGATCTTCAGTGTTCGTTTAATCAGCAGCTAAAGTTTTGTTTATCTCCGCATAACGTAGCTACTGCTCTGTGCTCCAAAGACTGAGCTATTTGCTGTCTCGTACGGTTTTTAAAGTGTTTGTCACTATGCTATCAGCATGCTTCAAAATTATGACTGAGTTCATCCTCACAAATCTCCTGTGAGATGAGAGAGTGGTATTATCTGTATTTTGCAGATGGGAAGCTGAGGCCCAGAGAGATTAAGGTCAAAGTCTTCTATTAGTTGTGAATATCCAGTCTGAGCCACTGAACTGCCACTATTTCAGAGTTCTTGGCGTTATATGGTTAAAAAGCATTATTAGCATTGTATTAATAAAATGCCTCACTGACTTGCATCTGTGAGTGTTTAGTACTTCTGCAGAGCCAGTTTCTGTATCTTATGGCAAACATTCTAAAAATGAAAAATGTGGTTTTGTACCACATCTAATCTTGAAGTTGAATTATTTGCTCAGCATCAAACAAGGGCTGCATCAGACTGTATAGGCAGTATTCAGTCATACGAACATCTTGTATCACACTTGTCCAAAGAGAAGGGGACGATGCAAAGCCAAGTAGTTTCATTAGGCCTTCATGTTCTTAATTGCTTGGGAAAGTTTCATTTATTGGTAAAATGGATTTATTCCTGAGGTATTCATTACAAGTTCATCATTACTTTCTTCCATCTGCTTTGAGTGCTATCATCAATCTTTACCCTTCCTTGAGACAGGAAACAAGCTCGTTTGAGACCCTAATGCACTATTCTTCTATGATGTTTATTGACAAGAAAGTGATTCAAATGCTAGAAAATTTAATTGCTGCTCCTCAGCATTTTTCGGCATTGACTAAAATGACTTAGTCCATCTTTAGAGTATTTATTTGATGGAAAATCTGGTAATCTGCTCTGTAAGATGTCACATTTTCAGGCGAAATGAGAATTTTAGGTAAGAGTCTCCTTGCTCATGTCAGTTGCCCCAGATGTAAAGAGGTATTTCATCATTCCTATTCAGTGCATAGTTAATGAGCATTTCCTGAAGATTCAGTTGTCTCATAATTCACTCAGCTTTGGGCCATGTCATTCCCTGGTACGTGCCTTCTCTTTACTAAACCCTCTAGTGCAGCATTTAATATCCAGTACGTGCAGCTGTTAAGAAATGGAGTCCAACAGGAGAGATGGGGAACCACTCTTTATCAGGGATTGTAGTGAGAGGACAAGGGGTAATGCTTTTAAGCTGAAAGAGGATAGGTTTAGATTGGATATTAGGAAGAATTTTTTTACTGTGAGGGTGGTGAGACACTGGCACAGGTTGCCCAGAGAAGCTGTGGATGCCCCATCCCTGGAGGTGTTCAAGGCCAGGCTGGATGAGGCTTTGAGCAACCTGGTCTAGTGGAAGGTGTCCGTGCCCATGGCAGGGGGGTTGGAACTAGATGATCTTTTAGGTCTCTTCCAACATAAACCATTCCATTATTCTATGATTACATTTTTTATTCTAGGAAAGTCCTTGCTTTTGGGTGTTAGTTGCATGGACTTTTCTATCCAAGACCAAATGAATTCTGTCTGTCTAAGTTTGTAATCAGTCTTATTTTTGGTTCATTTACGTGATCTATGATGCTTTGTTCTCTGTTATATGGTGCAAAATCTTTGAAATGAGATGTCTTTTGGCTGCCTGGGCTAAGTTGTATCCTTACTTACACTAGATGCTCCAAAACACATGTCCAGGAATGCAGTCCTGAAAGAGGTGGTTTCCACCATGGTACATTTAATTCCTGAAAACTTCCATTAAAAACTGATAAAGGTCAATGTCACTTTACAAAAATCCTATTAAAAAAGACAATTACTGGTAAGGCACGGAGTTGGTAGACAATGCCAGCTTCTAATATACAAGAGAGTACTTGATTTATAGGAGTAAAATGAATTACAAGCAGACTTGTGTTCCTTTGAAATTACATAAGTTAAATAAATTTCTGTTAAGAACTGATATTGGTGGCATCACTGACCTCTGCACAAAATTATATGTGAGGTTTCCAAAGGTTCTAGTGTGCATGCTTCATATTCCTTGTTGGCTATTGGAGTCAAGTCTTGAAATCTGTTTGCCTTTGACACAAAATGTCACCTATGTCTTAAAAACGGATCACGCTTAGCAGTAAAAGAGATTTATAGTACTATAAAAAATATAATACTGTAGGATAAAATCCCTGTTCAACCACATATAGCTAGAGGATCTAAAGACCTAGCTTTTGAAAACACACAGTGCTGCTAAGCAGGCTGCCTGATCATATTCCTGCCTTTTGTGTTTGAAAAACAAGTAACATCCAAATTCTATGGCCCTCATGTACCTGAGCATATTTTGTACAGCTTTTGGAATCTGTTCTCATCTTCACAAGGTAACTCCATAACACCAAGCCATTAACTCTTTCCATACTTGGAATCACACTTCATCCTTTAATTGACTTAATTGCTAGGAACTGGTTAGGTCTGATTTCCAAATGATGGACAACTGACAGTTTTGCATGAAATAGGGCAACAACTTAGCAGATTAGATTAACATACAAGGAATAATTTGCTCCCATAGCCTGCTTGGCTTTCGTGACTTCCGGTCAATTGCGAACATTCTGCCATCTCATATCAAGAGAATCTAGAGATTCCAGCTTGTTCATCTGCTACCAGATATTAATGCACTTGCTTTAGAAAGAAATATGAGACTGCATTAAAACTGTGCAGAAATAATGAATATAAAATAGATTAGAAACTCCCATTTTCTGTCTCATAACAGGAACAGGAGGATTTGAAATTAAAGTAGCGAATTCAAAATTGTTAGAATGAAATACTTTAGCATAAAATTGATGTCTCACACGTGCTTCTAGAGGATATGTGCTTAAGACCCAGAATTTAGGACAATTGAAGTACATTATGCAGTTCTGCCTGCTAACCCCCTTCTGTGAGCTCCCCTTCACTCACACTGTGAGAAGGAGCTGAGCTGCAGTTGTGTTCTGTGTCTCTCTGACTCCGTCACCCAAACCTCCAGCACTTGGATCCTCATGACCAAAGTAGAATCTTTGCAGGGAGGAAGACAAACAAACCAATGGAGAAAATTCAGAAGACCTGAAACTGTTAGTTATTTATTTTACATGTTTAGGTGTGTGCAGTCTCCAGGTGCATTAAGAATTAGTAAGAGTTCTTTATTTCCAGGTTATGTTATGTTATGTTTCCTGCAAATGAACAGGAAAAAGAGCTTATTTAACATGATGGTGGTAGAAGGTTTTCTTTCCAGAAAAAAAAAAAAAAAGGTGCATGCATGCCAGAATGAAAAACACTTCCATGATATTTTTATCTGAAAAAGTTTAGCTCAGGTTATCACCCATGTGAACACTTCTGTTTTTTGGGAAATGGTTTGGAGATGTGGTTTCTTTTGTGCTTGGAGTGACACCAAAATGTACATGCTGTATTGAACAGTTTAGATTATGTCAGGGCCATTAGAGACCTTCATCTGTCTCCTCTGTCAAGTGATACTTCAAGTCCACTCTGCTGGACTCTTGAATAGGACCTAAAAGCTTGATTGCACTGAATTTTATGTTAGGAATGGAGGTTTTCAGAACAAAAGCTTAGGACATATTTATTTAACAGCAAGGTTTTAAGATCTTTCTTCCCCATTAACTGCATTGCAGTGATGGATGATTGCAGTAACAAGTGCATTGACATGCTTTGAAGTTTTAAGTGGACTGTTAAAAAATTGTTCAGAGTGGGACATTTTATAACCATTTCCATCTCTCTCTTGCTATACTGTTTCATAGGAGAAAATAATTCCATAGTTCTTATGCTTTATTAGGCTTGTAGTTCTTTGCTCTTATATTCTGATACTTCTGTGCTGTAAATTTGCCAAAGAGCTAATCCTTCTCCTTCTCGCAACATAAGGTTGCTCTTGAGTCTGCAGATTATTAAATCTGATTATTAAAACTGGCAATGCAGAAGAGAGGAATTCTGCTTTTGGATCTGGGGATAACATGATTTCTTAACTTTTTTGTCAAGTCTTTTAAGTTCTTGGTGTTTTAAGAACCCTATTTTTAAAACAAGGACATTTAACAGAATTTTTCAGCAGTTTATAAAGTTGATGAATTCATAAATTGAATTTTTACATCATAACTGAAATGGTGTGTTTAACATGCCTAATTATGGAACATTCTATATAATGTAAATTGACCAGTGCTTAACAGGAGTGCCCTGCATGTGAACATGAGTCTTTCTTAAAAAACTTTTAATAAAATACATATTTGTAGTTTTTACTTATATAATATTTTGTTCTCTTCTATCATAAACTTTTAACTGTGTTATAAATTCCAGTTAGCTATTAACTGTAATTATCAGAAATGGCTTGTGGTGTACAATAAAAATCATTCAGGTGCAAGATGTTGATTGGGGTCACGCTCATTATAATAATTATCTTCTAATGTGGGAGCTGTGCTCAGAAAGCAGTTTACCAAAATTATGTTTACAGAATGATATTACAGAAAACTATGGTTATTTGATGTGAAAGTTGCTTATACATTTGACCCCCTGCCTTCTATTCCAAGAAGGAAGCCACTCCAAGCCATCTGGGATGTAAGAAAGGAGGGCTGGCCAAAACACTGTTCTGAAATTAAGGAAGTTGAATTCTTTCATCTGCATGCTCAAGTTCAGTGTGGTAACATTTTTCATGAACTTTTGACTTCCATAAGTTTGTAACTAGATGTGCAATAAGTTGATTTTCATATATCAAAGTTATTATTATGGCTACCTCTAAGATTGTTACTTCTGCTTAGTTCGCAGATAGGACCATTCTGAGGTGGTTGTATTTAGCTCATGCAGGAGTCCCTACCTGGGTGATTAGAGTTCCCAATATCTTTTGCTTATCGAAGTTTCTTTTCCTGTATTCTAACTGTGGATCTGTAAATGAAAATAAACGCATCACATTTTTTTATCTGTAAAAGAAAATAAACTCATCAAATCTTTTATGGCTGGGCCAAGCATCACTGTGAAAAAAAGCCTGTTCAGTTTTAGGGCACATGGCTTATTACACTTCATGATATTTCATCCCATACTCTGTACATTCTCCTGCCTTGCATCTACACAGCAAGTGCGTCACTGGTCCTTACACAATGAGAGGTTGCCTTTTGTGCTAGTGGGATGTGCCTGTCCTCTGGAGAGGAGTGGAGTGTGAATATTCAAAGTATGCTTTTTGGCTTGGGCAGCCTTGTTCTGGGATGTCTGTGGTCTCCAGATGAGAGGTCAGTCTCTAGGTTCCCTCTCAGAGGTATTCCCAGTTCTATGGTCAGACAGGCTGACTTGTGCATTTCTCTTTCTCATTTCTGACACCCTTGAGTTACTTGCTCTGATTTAATCTACATGGAAGGATGAATCTTGTAGTTTTCTTTCTGAATTACAGGCCTCTGAAGTGAAATCTGTTTCATGCCCACCATATCTAAGAATTCTCTCTTTTTGTAGCCACAAGTCTACAGGTTTTATAAAATCCATGCAGTTTGTGTCCATTGCTGAAGGACAAGAGTCAAGTCCTTTGTTCAGCAGTTGTCTTCGTTCATAATGGACTGTGTAAAAACTTGAAGTGAAACAGAATGTTACTGACATTGATCTGGCTGTGGTAGAGCATACTGCAATCCTAACAAGAGGACATTTTAGAGAAGTATTTTTAATCCCAGGGTCTGATGTTGGGCCACAGGAAGCTCTGTTCATATCTTAATCATTCTGTCATCTCAGAAGCCTGGAGGATTGATGCAGTACTTGGTAGAGTGTCTCTGCAGTTTCTCTTGGCATTGCAGGCTGTTCGTGAAATGTTCAGACACTTGCAGTGTGAGTACACCTGTACACTTTCACTCAGAGAAAGAAAGAGGTCATTTGCTAGTAAACAGAGTTCTTCTGATGTAGAGTCTGAATCTGTTTGCCTCTTATCTTTCATCTCTTCCCTCAACTCTTTGAGGTTTTAACCTGCATCTCTGGGTAAAATGAAAGTGCTGTCTTGGTCATATGCAGAGTAGGGAGGATTTGGGAGAGGGAAGGCATGAGCCCACCCTGTGTGGATACTACAGAAGGGAAGGAAGTTGTTTGGTCTGTAGTGGTAGGGCATGTGTGTGGCAGCTTTGCATTCAGAATTCGTGTTGTACCTCGTGGCAGGATTGCATCTCTTGGTTACAAACAGACATTGACATGGCTGAAGTGTTTCAAATTGCCACACCAACGTTCTGGGGAAGCAGGTACAGTTTTCCATTGTGATTTATCTGTAAAATGAAACCAGAAATGTTATGTTGTAATGTTATTTCTTTCTGGTTTAGATTTTATTTCCCAAATAAATGATCTCTGTTTCAAAATCTTGCTTAAATAGGAACATGTTTAAGTATGCAGCAAAATAAAAATGTCCTAAACTTTCAGACATTCCTGATCTGCTTTTTCTGAGATGCAGGAACATCCCTTCCAAGTTATAATTCAATATCTTGATAGCAGTGTCTATTGCTATTTTTTTAAACAGTAGCTTAACAAAGTCTCTATACTGTGGCTTAGTCATGTGTTAGTTAGTGTTGCTCTAGGGCCTTGGATTTTGGTTTTCGTTGTGGTTTGTTATGTAAAAAATAAACCTTACTCTTCTGAGTCTTTTACTCTAAAGTTGCCTTTTGTTCTTTGCAGACTACAGAAGAAGCCTAGAGAACTAGTTCAGCATAGACATATTTTTTTTGATAATAAGAGCCAAGTAAGATAAATACTATGCATTGCTCTCAATAGAAGTCATGCTGTTGCAACACAGACTATGAAACTAGGCATGTACTAATGAAATGTATTGAATATTAATCAGCAGTTCATCTGAGTATAGTTGGCTGTTCATTTTCATCTGTACATCATGAACCTGAATTAAAAGTTCTGTATTTCTGCCTGAAGAGGATTGATTATTTATTTGTTGGAGGTGTAGGGGCAAGATCATAAATGATTCTTCTCTTTTGCATCTTCTTACTAGGTGACAGTGTCTGGCCAATATTATCAGTATCCGTGACTGTAGAATATTTCAGTTGTAAGGGACCTACAGTGATCATCCAGTCCAACTGCCTGACCGCTTCAGGGCTGACCAACAGTTAAAGCATGTTGTTAAGGGCGTTGTCCAAATGCCTCTTAAACACTGACAGGCTTGGGGCCTTGACCACTTCTCTAAGAAGCCTGTTCCAGTGTTTGGTCACCCTCTCGGTAAAGAATTGCTTTGTAATGTCCAGTCTAAACCTCCCCTGGTGCAGCTTTGAACCATTCTCACGCATCCTATCCCTGGATCCCAGGAGAAGAGATTAGCAACTCTCTTTCCACTTCCCTTCCTCAGGAAGCTTTAGAGAGTGATGACGTCGCCCCTCAGCCTGCTTTCTCCAAACTAGACAAGCCTGAAGTCCTTAGCCACTCCTAATAGGACATTCCTTGCAACCCTTTCACCAGCTTTGTTTCCCTCCTCTGGAAGCATTCGAGCACCTTAACATCCTTCTTAAATTGTGGTGCCCAGAATTGCACACAGTATTCAAGGTGAGGCTGCACCATATGCAATTTAGCAGGCTTTTCAATTGCTTATTAGGAAATAAGTGCAAAAAATGTACTATGACATGGATAAAGTTACTGTGCAAGAGTTAGAAAGATCAAAACCTTAGCAGTGTACAGCAATGTACAGTAATGTCTAGCTTCTGAGTACCGATAGTCATATTTAAGAAAGCTACTATTGGCATAGAGTAACTTACAATTCTAAACAGGGCAAGAGGTGAATTTATAATGCTTAATGGAGAATGATAAGGTGTGTCTATACATCTGATAAAAGATTCTGAAGTCAAAGTCTGTGTGTGGGTTTAATACCCAGTTATGTAATACTACCTTATTTAATGGTACAAACATGTAGATCACATCTGTCAAGACTGCCAGGCATTGCATCTCTTTGCCAAAGCTGGCTACAGAATGTCCAGTCAAATGAGCTGAGGTCTAGTACTGTGATCAGGGACGCAAGGCTGTTGAATGTTGTTATGATTGGCATTATCTAGTGGGATTACTTTATTATTTTTTTTTATTTATGCATATATAGTCTAACTCTCCACAGGAAAATGTCCTGTTGTTTCCCCCAAAACTTATTTCCAAAGGCCAATAAAAAGATGATTCAACAGCTCAAAAAGTACTAAAATCTGTTTAAATTGAACATTATTAACAGCTTAAACCTAAGAGTTATGCTACAGGTATTTCCTTTTGGTTCTGTTTATTTCTTTACTAATTTTTCTGATATCTCTTTATGGCCCTTTTTTGGTATGTCATTCTTATGTTTTGCCTAATGGATTTCTACCTAGTTCCTGTGTACAGAGCACTGAATTATTTTTTTACATCCACTTACAGTTGCTTTCCTCTGGTCTCCCAAGGTCTTTGTGTTCAGAAACTAAAGCTTCTTTTACATGATGTATTAAGCAGCATAAATTAATACTGCTAAGATTCTAGTTGTTACTTAGTAGGAAGGAGCATACAAAGAGAAAGAGTCCTCCCTCCCTTTTTCTCTTGATTTGGGACACCAACCAGAGATATTTATTGAATTTGTTATCTTGTTTTCCTTTTCTATCCAAATCAAGATATGGACTTCTTTATTTTTATTTAAAGGTTCAGAACATTATTTGTAGCTGGTGAGCACTGTGATGTGGACACACTAGAATGGTCAAAAAAGATCTTCAAGGTACCTGTCTTGGACCACTGGTGGCAAACTGGTGAGTGCTTTAAAACACTATTTGTAAAATACAGTGAGGAGATATTTTCAGACTTGTTTCTGGCATCTATAGGTAGAACTGGTTTCTCTTTCCATGAATACTTAAATAGGCTAGATCAAGAGTGAAAATAAAAATTCAAGGAGGAAGAATATTTTTTGGAAGTTATCTGAAAACTGACTTCAGTATATATTTGAACCAGAGCATTTTAAAAAGGTACATAGACAAAAAAGGTATTTTCTGATGCCTGTGTTTTTTTTTAAAAAAAAAAAAAAAAAAAGGGGGGAGGGGGGGGAAGCTTGTATCAATATTTTTTCCAGGTGTATTTTTATACTGTCTGCATGTATGACTATGTTGTTACAGAAAATTTGGTAGATAGGGAAGCTTTCAGGTTTAAGTTAAGTTTTTTGCACATAGATTTTGTGTAATTGAAAACAATTTGTGGTACAGAGTAGACTCCTTGATCGTTAATATTGTTCTGTATGGATCTCATCCAACTTCTGTTAATTATTTTGGAATGTCTCCCATTTATTGCACTAGAGGAGGATTAAGTACTTAGGCTGCAATGGAAGAAGCAGAGTACCAATCTATGTGTAATTCTGTCAAAAATTTTTGTTAAATTCTGGATTAAGGCTTGATCAAATGTATCTCCTTATAACTATGGATTAAGATATTTTTAAATTTCACTATTGCAGGATCAGATTCAATGTGCTTCTTACACACATTATTGCAATTTAAGCTAAGGAAGTGTATTGCAGAAGTTCCCCCCTTCCCTCCCTCCCTCCCTTCCAAGTATACCTCTTCTATTTTCTGTCCATCATTGTTTTGAGATGAAAATTTTCTCTGGTCTCTCTCTATATGGTGAAAAACGTTTTGATTCCCCCATTATGGGTCAGATAGCAGATATTAGAATAAAAAGTGGAAAAATCTTCAGTTCATCTATAATATACGTTATGCAATGAAATCAGTTGAGGAGGTTTAGAACGCATTATTTTTATTAACCATCCCCCAATATTAGATAAATACTGAGAAAGTACTGGAAGATAGTGGTGTCATTTTTTATTGAATCTTGATTTAATCTGCTAATTAATTGATAAATATGAGGGAAAAGACCTATATTTTGCTCATTTCTCTATGATCCTAATGTCTGTAGGCAAGAGCAAGCCTCAGTGGTGCAGAATGAGCAATTAACTGAAAAGGATTAAAAGATCAAATAATGCCTTTGACTACCTACTGAACTGGCAGTAAGCAATATAACTGTATGTAATTTTGCATGTTTTTATCTGTGTATATCTGTGAAAGGTCTTAAACAAGCATGTGAATCTAATTGTACTCATAGTGTGTAGAGGTAAGACTGTGTTTGAGACACTTTTCAATGAAGACCACGAGCCCAGCTCAGAATGTAGTATGTTTCTTGATTTTTATATTCACGGCGTGCTCTTAAATTAAATTGTAGCATGACTTAATGAGCTAAGGCCATTTCAAATGCAGTGTTTGAGAGCATTTAATAATTTGATTAGAATTTTTTTTCAAGTGATTTCTGTATATGTGATGTTGAATGTAAGCAAGGAATTCAGTCTGAAGGGAAAAATTTACTAAGTCAAAATTCCTATCAGAGAACTGATTTTCAAGGAATAAGGAGAAAGAAGGAAGGAAGAATCACAGAATTATTGGAGTTGATGAGGACCTTTTGAGGTCATCTGGTCCATCCCCCCTTCTCAAGCAGGGTGACCTAAAGAGAGTTGCCCAGGACTGCATCCAGTTTTTAGGATCTCTATGGATGGGAATTCCACAACCTTTCTGACAGGCTGTGCCAGTGCATGACCACCCTCACAGTAAAAACGTTTTTGTGCTTAGCTGGAGTTTCCCATATTTTAGTTGGTGCCTATTGCCTCTTGTCCTGTCAGTGGGCACCACTGAGATGTCTGTCTGCCTCTTCTTTGTTCCCTCCCATCCAGTATTTACAAACACTGATAAGACCTCTCCTGAGCTTTCTCCACACTGAACAGTCCTAGCCTCTCTCAGCCTCTCTCCATATAAAAGATGTCTCTTTTCCTGGCTGTTCACAGGATTCTCTCCAGTAGCTCCATCTCTTGTACTGGGGAACCCAGAACTGGCCCCTGCAGATATGGCCCCACCAGTGTTGAGTAGAGAGGAGGGATCATCTCCCTCAAACTGCTCACAGCATTCTTCCTTTTGCAGCCCAGGATGCTATTGGCTTCCTTTACTGTGAGGCTGCGTTTCTACCTCATGGTCATCTTGCTGTCCACCAAGATCCTAAGGTCATTCTCTGCAGAATATTCTATTCCTAGCTGTCTGGTCCCCAGTGTGCAGTGGTGCCCGGGGTTATTCCTTCCCAGATGCTGGACTTTGCACTTCCCTTTGTTGAACTTCATGAAGTTCCTGTTGACCTGTTTCTTCAGCCTGTCAAGATGCTTCTGAATGGCAGCACACTCATCTGATTTATCAGACACTTCTAGTTTTACATCATCTGCAAACTTGCTGAGGGAACATTGTTTCCCATTGTCCAGGTAATTAATGAAGAAATTGAATAGTATTGGCCTCACTACCAACCCTTGGGGTACACCACTAGTGATTTGCCTCCAAAGGGACTTTGTGCCACTGGTCACAACCCTCAGGGCCTGGCTGTTCAGAAAGTTCTGAGTCTATCTTGCAATCCACTTAGCTAACCCATACTTTGTCAGCCTATCTATGACAATATTATAGGAGGCAGGGTCAACAGCTTTACTAAGGTGGAGGTAAATGACCTCCACCGCTCTCCCCTCATCCACAAAGATAGTTACCTCATTGTAGAAGGCAATCGGTTTGATTAAGCATGATTTCCCCTTCATAAATCCATGCTGACTACTCCTGATCACCTTGTCCTTTGTGGTTTGGAGATGCTTTCCAACATTACTTGCTACATCACCTTCCCAGGGACTGAGATGAAGCTGACTAGCCTGTAGTTCCCTGGATCTTCTTTCTTGCCTTTCTTGATGAGAGGACTGACATTTGCTCTCTTCCCATCTTCAAGAACCTCTTCCGTTGCCATGACCCTTGTAAGGTAATTGAGAGTGGCATTGCAATGACATCAGCCAGCTCCATGAACTTATGTATTTGCAGTTTGTTTAAGTGCTGCCTAACCTGGTCCTCTTCCACCAAGTGTGAGTCTTCCTTGCTCCAGACTCCCTCTGGTGTTAGGGGTCTGGGAATCCTGAAAGTCAATCTTACCAGTAAAGACTGAGGTGAAGAAGGCATTCAGTACCTCAGCCTTTTCTGTGACCACATCCCCTGTCCTGTTCAGTGGTGGATTCATGTTTTCTGCACTCTTCCTTCTGCTGATTATGTACTTGTAGAATACCTTCTTGTTGCCCTTCATGTCTTTTGCCAGATTCCACTTCAGGTGAGCCTTGGCTTTCCTAACTCCATCCCTGCACAACTGGACGGCATCTTTATACTCCATCTGGGTCATCTGCACCTATTTCCACCTCTTTTACGCTTCCATTTAATGTCTGAGTTCAGTCAAGAGCGCCTTGCTCATCCACTCAGGCCTCTTGCCTTTATTTCCTATTTGTCAGGATGGACTTCTCTTGAGCTTGGATGAAGTGATCCTTGAATATCAGCCAGATGTTGTGGAGCCCTCTTCTCTCTGTATCACATGGGATTCATCTAAGCAGATCTCTGAAGAGATTAGAGTCTGCTGTCCTGAAATCCAGGGCTTTGGTTTTGCATTTGCTTTGCTCCCTCTTTTCAGAATCCTTAACTCCACCATCTCATGTTCACAGCAGCCAAGGCTGCTCCTGGCCATTTCTTCCTTGTTCGTAAGCATGAGGTCCAGCAGAGCACCTTTCCTTATTGGCTCCTTGATCACCTTTGTCAGCAAGCTGTCATCAATGCACTGTAAATGTGGATTGCTTGTGCCCTGATGTGTTGACCTTCCAGAAGATATCAGAGCTGTTAATATCCCCCATCAGAACGAGGGCCTGTGAATGTGTTGTGGGTTTGAACCCCTGGCTGGCGGCTAAACACTACGACAACTGCTCACTCACCCTCACCCATTCCCCGTCCCCGCTCCCAGGGATCGGGGAGAGAATTAAAGGGGTAAAGGGAAAAGAGGCTCGTGTGTTAACATAAAAACAGATTAATAACTAAGCTATAATAATATTGAAAATAACAGTGATGATAGTAATATATACAAATATGCAAATGAGTGATACACAGTGTTACTGCTCACCACCTGATGACCAAGGCTCAGCCCATTCCTGGCTAACAATCCTGGAGCAAGGAGAGTTCTGAAACCATACTCCCAGAATGAAGATAACAGCCCAAGTGTCTGAGAGACCGAGACAACCCTGAGAGAGGGGCAACCCAGAAGGAGATGAGCAGGAGCAAGAGAGAGAACTTCAGACAGGCCCTCATCTATATACTGGACATGACGTGCATGTTATGGAATACAACATTGGCCAATTTGGGTCTTAGTCCTAAAACTAAGGTTGAATCCTGGGCTAGTAACTGGGACTGTGCTTCCTCCCAGCTTCTCCTGCACCTGCAGACACTGGCACAGCAGAGAAGCTGAAAAGTCCTTGACTGTCTTGGCAGCAACTCTAAACATCAGTATGTTATCAGCCTTCTTCTCAGCACAAATCCAAACACAGCCTCACACTAGCTACTGTGAAGAAAGTTAACTCTATCTCAGACAAAACCAGGACAGAATGTGAGACTTCTTCCGTTTGTTTGAAGAAGGCCTCATCTACAGGCCTTATCCTGGTCACAAGGTCTCTAGCAGATGCTCACTACAACAGCATGAATGTTGGTCTGCCTGCTGGTCTTCACCCATATGTTCCTGACTGGTTCCTGAACTGACCTCTGACAAGGCAGAGCCCCTCACATCTAAAGTGCAACACCTCCTCTTTGCTAGGCATAGGAAAAAGTGCTTAATAGAATACAAGCTAATAAACGAAATTTGTATAACTTTTAAAATAGAGTACTATCAGGCCTTGGGT